AGAGTTGGGAGACTTCAGTTCTGACTCTAAAGATTTCTTTTGTTAAGTTAGTAGCTGGGAACCCGGAAAGTATTTTCCCAGAAAAAAATACTTCTGTACCTGGTAGTGAGGTTCCCTAATGCTATAAAAATCTGTTTAATGACCATGTCCCTGAAATAGAACACACAGTAATGATCTACAGATCATCACCTCCACGGGATCATCCAATCATAGGTCCTGGGGTTGGAACTCTGAGTGGCAAGACGGGGTCCTCTTTTATGGGGTAAAGAGAAAGAGAAAATTGGTGCTGTACAAAAAAAAAGGAAGTAGAGGAAGGAGTAAGGAGGCTTTCATGGGGAAGAGCACATGGTGAGCTTGTAGAGGGCCTTTACAAACGTAGAGATTTATTAGGTGGCAGGTTGTAGCTTTGGCAAGTCCTATAAATAAAGCTATTCAGTGCTCACTGTCACCCTTTAGCTCACTGTCTCCTCTTCCTTCTGCTGTCTATGCCACCATCTTGTTTTTGAAGTCTTTAGGGCACACATAAATATAGGCAGCCCTTCCCTGAGATTCATGATGAAGAATCCACTTTTTCCGTGTAAGTGACTAATAGCTCTATAAATAGACCAATATATGATACATAAATATACAGTGTAATAACAGAAGCTCCCTGTGCCAGAGAGGAAAGGTACATTCATGTATGTGGGTTGGTCAACTGGGTGCATGGATTTTGCAGGGCCCCTGGAAGACTGAAAGGAGGCTCCTTGACTATTTTTCTCTGGATAGAGGGCTTCCAAATCTGACTTCTGAAATCCCTGATTGAATTCCCAGCAGTCTGCTTTTCCTGACTGTAACCAAAACAGCATGTTTAAATGAATATGAAATTCCATCGGTATAAAGCCCTGTGAAGCTCAGTCCACCAACCCCGTCGCCAAAGCCGTTAATAACGCCCTATTGTGTTACCGTGGTAATCTAGGTTGTCATTATGAAGTCTTTGCTCCTGGTTGAGAAAACATGAAATTCCATTAAATGTATAATCTGGGTTCCCTTCAGGCCAGAGATGCATCCTGCTTAAAGTCGAAATGAGCTGAGATTTAATGTCATGGAAAAGAAGAAAGCTCTCCACCAGGAAAAGGACTTGTGGGGTGGGGATAAGAATGGTGAAGTCAGTGCCTGTGATCCACTCGTTTCAGCCTGTAGACAGTGTCCTGATGGCCAAAGGATCTTAGAAGCCCAAGGAAAAAAAACGAGTCAGCATTCATTCCCTTTTCACTCTGCTGTGTTGGGTGCTGGACAGCACTGTCTGAGGAGGTTCTTTCTAGGCTAGAAAACCATGTCTTTAAGGCCCACCAAGGGGCCTGCAAGCCATCATTGCCTTTTAGCCCATCCCCCATCTCTGGGCTCCACAATCACATAAATTAGCCTGGATCAAGATGGCAAGCTGGAGTTGTTCATGCTGTCATACCAAGTTCTAGCAAGTTGTTCATTCAGCACAAAAGTATCCCTCTCTTCAAGCAATAGGACAACTAAAGGAAGTCAGAGGAGTCCACCAAATGCAAAGGTAGGTGCCTGTAAAGGTCTCCCCACCATTTGCTTCCCAGAGCATTTTGGGGTCTCTGATGTACTGCAAAAGACCCTATGGCTCATTTCGAAATTTGCTGCAGGATTAAATATAAAAGAAGCAGCATCCTCTATAACCGCGAGGGGCTTAGATAGAGCTCAGAGCTCAGCACGCTGGTTAGTGATCCTCCTCACATTTGACATGATTTTTTAAAAGCTCAAGGTAACTTACTTTTGTTGAATATGAAATGGTATCTGTTCACTGTAGAAAATTTTGAAAACACAGAAAAGCATTAAAAACAAAATTCAAAATCTTCTAGAAAGAAATACTATTACCTATTGGGTAAATAGACACACATATGTGTCTGCTTAGCTTTTTTACAAAGGTAGAATTATCATGTATATATAATGTTTGTGTATTTTCACCTAAGAGTATATTCTGAACATTAAATGTTTTTCCTAAAATAGCTCACAAACATGCATCATATGCATATTCAATACTATGCATTTATCATGCCTTACTTAACAAATCCCCTTGTTGTTGGACATTTAGCTAATTTTAAGCTTTATTATTATAAACAGCACTGCTATTAACATACATATAGGCACTTCTATGTGACTATCTTGGAATTTTTCTTTAGAACCTGGAATTGCAGGATGGAAAAGTAGAGCCCCATTTTTAAAAAGCATTCGATACATGTTGCTAAATTATCTTCTTGTCATCACCATTCAATATGGTAGCCACTTAAATTTAATTAAAGTTAAATAAAATAAAAAGTTCCCTTTCTCGATTGCACTAGCCACATTTCACAGGCTCAATGATAGCCACATATCACTAGTAGCAACCATCCTGGACAGAGCAGATACAGAACATTTCCATCATAACGAAGTTCTATTGGACAGCACAAGTCTGCAAAGACTGTATGAATTTATATTTTTCTTAGTAAAATATGAGAGTGCCTACCTCTAAAAAATTGGCCAATACTAAATATTGTAATTCTTTAAAAAATCTTTGCCAACTTAATACAAATTATGTCTTGATTTTTCATTTCTTTGATTACTAATAAAGTTGAAATTTTTTGTTTATTAACTTTCATATTTTTTTGGTGAATTATTTACATAGTTAGCCCATTTTCTATTGGGGTGATCTTTTAAAAACTGCTTTTTATATACATAACTGGGGTGCCAAAAATGTATACACATGACTTGTATTCATCTTTTGTTATTGGTATATATTGAGTATTACAATTTTAATAGTTTTTTCCTTTCTTAAAATATGTATACTTTTTTTGGCACCCTCTGTATTTAAAGAGTAATTTATATTGCAAAAGTTTCTGTAACTTGTTATTATCTCTTATTGATGGCATTTTTTCACTTATAGATATTTAAATTTTAAATATATTTAAATCTTTTCATAGTTTTCTCTATTGTTTGTACCCTTTTCAAAGCTGTAAAACTAAGATTACAGTAATAGTCATCTAAAATTTCTTCTAGATCTCTCATCATTTCCTTTTAAACATTTCAGTCCTTCTGGAATTCATTTTGGTGTATGGTGTAAAGTATAAATATAATCTTTTTCTTTTCCCATGTTACCAACCATTTGTCCAAGAATCGTTTTTTAAAATAATTCCCCAATGATTTGAACTTTCACTGAATGCTTACATGTCCTTGGATCTATTTCTAGATTTTTCTACTCTGTTCACCTATTCTTTGGCCATCACCATCCTGTTTTTATTAATTTGCTTTATAATATATTTTAGTATTTGGAATTTCTTCATTATTCTTTTCCAAAAATGTTTTAGCTCTTCTTGTCTGTCTTTTCTCTAACACAAACCTAGAATCATTTTGTTAAACTCCCCTCACCACCAAAATCTTACAGAATTTTTATTGAAAAGTTGAATTCAACTTATAAATTGATTTGGGGACACTTGATTATCTCTACAGTATGGAGTCATTCCACTCATGGATATGGTGATTCTGTCCATTTTTTCAAGTTTTCCTGTATGTCTTTCTGAACTGGCTTTAAAAAATTATTTTTTATTTTAATGCACAATAATGGGCATCTCTGACTGTTTTCACACACAAATCTAAATCTGCGAGCTGGTGCTCCCAAGCACTAGAAGTAACAAAAGAAATTCCATTTTTTAGCATTGGAGTATATTTTCAGTACCCACCTTCTCATAAATCTGCAAAAAAGAGATCTCCCTTTTTATCCAAAGAATCTGGAGTTCAAAACAGCCTTTACGGAAAAAATCAAACTCCAGGGGCAACTGCAAAGCACATTTGGTTTCTAGTTGGCCAGCGTATTTCGTAGGGTTCTTTTTCCAACTCCCAAATACTTTCCAGTCTGTGAAATTCATCTCCTCACCACTGTAAGTAAGAGCAAGCGCCTCTCCTGGCGCTGGGAAGCTCACACAGTTTTAGAGAGCATGGATCTTCTCTGAGGGACTTTTTATTGTTGAAGCTGGTTTTAGTAGATAGCATGAAGATTCCTTGAATGGCTGCGGCTTGGCAAATCTAAGGGGATTTGGGACGTGTTTAATGGGCCAAAGTTCAACTCTCCCTTGAGCACACTCCCGAAGCCGAAGGACTATCCATTTGCGTCAGGAAACCAGGGCTCCTGCACCTCCCTGGTAGCCCACCAGTCAAATCGCCAAGAACTTAAATACTCTTACATCACGGGTTCTCAAGCACAGGGGCTTTTGACCTGGAGGGGACTTTTGGAAACCTCTGGAGACATTTTTTGTTGTCACCACTGAGGGACTGGGGGTGGGAAATGAGGGGAGAGGTAGGAGGGGTGGTCCTGGCATCCCGAACGGCGGTGGGGGTTAGAGTCCACGGATGCTGCTAAACAACCGACAATGCACAGGATGGCTCTACAACAAAGAATTCCTCAGTCTAAAAGTCAACAGTGCCAAGGTTGAGAAATCCGCCTGTATTTTCACTAACTGCCGGGTCAGCATGCATTATATTGTTAGGAACAAAGGTAATGCATTAAGTAGGACAGCGTTTTCAAAAAGGAGCCGACTGACTAAACAGCCCATGCCTCTTACTTTAGACGTGCCTACCTCCAAACTTTAGAAGTTCTACCTCGGCTAAGCAAGACTTTCTCCCCAAGGTTTCTACAGCAAATGAGAAGGAGTCACAGAAACGTAGTGGGTCAACAGCATCTTCACACTCCCTGGCACGCTCCTTGGTCACAGAAAGCAAAGCAGCAAAGAAGTTTGTTCCCCGAACAAGGAGCGAGACGCCTCCCCTGCGGGCTTGGGCAACGGAGGAGAAGGATAGGAGGCGCGCTCCGCTGACAAAGGCGCAGCGCTGGGGCTGGCGGCCACTTCCCGCGGTCCCTTTTGGTCCCTGGACACAGGCGTGCCTGTCCCAAAGCGACCCTGCCAACAAGCCCAGCCCGGGAAGAAAGCATCATCAGCTCAGCCTAGGGCGGAACAACTCACAGCACTTACTTGTCCAAAATGAAGTACAGGTCAAATCCTCCGTAGCAGGCTGGACCCCCTTCCTCCCTGCGTCCCCCGTGCCCGGCGCAGATAAGCACAAAAGTGGCCAAAGAGAGACACTTGAAGCCAATGCCGAGGGCTTTCTGCTCCACGGTGGCCATGACCTGCAGCCCTTGGAGAGGGTAGGGTCCTCTACTTCCCACGCTCCTCGGACTCGCCAGGACCCTCAGGGACGCGCCATCCGAGGGGCCCTCCTCCCGGGCCCTTTATTCCCCCTCGTTCTTCTGAAACTCCCCGGAAGCAATTGTCTGGAGGAGTTCAAGGTTTTCCTTCTGGTTTCCGCTTCGATCTGTTTCTAGGTTTCAGGTTTCAAGAATCCCAATACTGTACTCCGCTTTTTTAAAGGGGCTGCTCCTGACTCGGGCCGGCCGGCCGCTCCCGAGGCTGCGCTGAGGTTTTGCAATTGAAGCAGTTCCGTCCAGACGGTTCTTTGTCCCAGATTTTAAATATTATGGGGTGGGTTTTCAAATTGTTCTTGGTTGGGGGAGTGCTTTGCCTTCTCTCCCTCCTCTCTACCCCCTTTCTATTTTGATGGGGGAGAAAGTTCACAGGGTGCCACCTTGTGGTCGAAGACGGAGAAAGCGCTCTTGGCGGGAGCGTGGCGATGCGTGTTTTCTTACTCCTTTTTCTCACGCACTTTTCCTTTTTTCCCCATTACTTCATCCCCATCCCCAGTTCTTTCTCATTCTCTAGCCTTTTTATCCCTGTTCTTTCCTCTCCTATCTTACGTCTGCTGATAAGTTTACTGTAAACGTTTGATGAGAACTTATTTCCTCCAATCACGGTGGCTGCTACCCCAGACTGGGATCTTTGCAAACAAGTCATTGTGCAAATTAAGCAGAGAAGAACGGGGCCTTTGTGATCTGAATTATCCAAGAGACTTTTCTGTACTCTTAGCGCAAATCATAAAAGAGACTGTTGGGGTCCAGCCATGTGGCTGCGAACAGCATGAACAGTCCCACAAAGAAGCTTGCTTGCTCCCTCCCGGCATGGAAAGCCTGAGCATTCTAGATTATCTCCATCTCCAGATTTTAGAGATTCTGTAATAGTTCTTCTTTTCAGCTTGTGAACTTTAACTTTTTACACCCTATCTTTGATGTAGGACAGAGGAAGTAAACAGCTTACAAGAACATGGACATTTCAAACATTTGGGGACTTGCAGGGACGTCTTGTGGTTGCCTTTCTAACGTGAGGGATCCTCGTTAGAGTGGCCTCTGAGTCCCAGTTCCGGTCTGGAAATCAGCTTTAGTTTCATATGTCTTCCACTTCGGGAGTCCTCAGTGCAACTCATGCTGCATTTTCCAGGGTTATTTCTCCAGGCACACATCTTCCCTCCACTTGTGAGCCTCTAAGACTCTCACTCCCAGATGTGGCCATCCATGGTGGTTTTGCCCCACCGTGTGTACCATGGAATCCTATTGTCCTGTAATGATCCATTAAAAAAAATAACTTTATTGTCAAATAAGTTTTGGAGATTCACAATGCACTGCACTAGCCTTCCTCCAAAATGACCCTCAGTGTTTCTTATCTCCTGGTATTCACCCCCCACTCCCCACCTACACTGAATAAAACTGACCTGTATGTAATTTATCATATAGAGCAGAAATGATGGTGTGTGACTTCTGAGGTTAGGTCGTAAAAGATATTGTGGTTTCCTCCTTGCTTTCCTGGATCACTTGCTCTGGGGAGCCCACTGTCATGTGGTCACTCAAGCAGCCCTGTGGATAAAGTCTATATGACAAGAAATCAAGATCCCCTGCGGAAAGCCAGCGTGAATTTGCCAACCATGTGAGTGCCCCATCTTGGAAACGGATTCTCCAGCCCTAGTCAAGCCTTCAGATGACTAGCAGCCTTGGCCAACACCTTGACTGCAACCTCACAAGAAACCTCAAGCAGGAACCACTCATTCCTAGCTTCCTAAGCCATCCCCAAATTCCTGACCCATATAAATTTCATATGAGATAATGAATTTTTGTCAGTGTTTTAAGCCTCTAATTTTGGGGGGTAATTTATTGTGTAATAATAGATAACTAGTAAATGCGTAGTGTATGTAGTCTTAAAGGTTTGAGAATTTTTAAGGAAAAAAATTGTCTAACTGTATTTCTCAGACCTACTTGACCATAAAACTGTTCTTTTCAAATAACACCCATTGACACCCATATTTTGGGAATTACTGCTCTCAAGAAAAAATGAGTAGGGGAGATCAGAATACTCTAACCTGTCCAAGTCTTCCTTTTCCATACCTTTTTCCTCCCCCCAAAAGTTTGAAAACCCATCCTGGTCCCATTGCAGCTCTATGAAGAGAAAGAAGATGGGAAGAGCTGTAGAAATTAAATGGTTTAATGAAAGCTGGAAAAGCAGGAGGAATTGATTAGAAAAGGGAAGGAATACGAGATAGGAAAAAGTAGTGGAGAGAACATTGGTGAGTGACAGGATTGGAGGAGGACTTGGGAAGAGTCTTCAGTGGGTTCCTGCTAGCCATTTCCTAGGTTAATTTTACAGCTCAGAGGTATCCAAGTATCAAGATCCACATATACAAATGTTATCATCTTCTCAAGGGACCTCTCAGTGCTCTGGTTGGACTGAAGGTGTCTGAGCTCCTAATCCCTTCCAAGGACCACCATGTTTTGGAGGAGATTAATTGGCCTTTCCAAGGTCCATAGAGATAGATATATGAGTTTCAGAAGAAACTTCTCTGCCTTTCAGCCTCAAGCCAGTGGAAGAACAATATAGATGGTGATGTTGGGGCTATGGATAGATACTTCTGGGGTTGGATAAGCACAAAGGCAAATTAAGCATGCATGTGGAAGTGTTTGAATGGTAACCTGGAAGTCAAGGCAGGGAAGAGCTTCTTGAAGGAAAAAGCAGTCAACAGTTCCACACGCTGTGGAAGTCAAGAAGATACGCCCTGAGAAAACTCCATTGATTTGACACAAGTGTCACCAAAGAGTATCACAGTGGAGTAGTACAGGGAGATGTTCGATTGCATTGGGGTATTGGGAAGGAGAAAGTTCTCTTTTAAGAAGAGAGAGGGCTGGGGGTAACTTGTGAAAGCTTAATGTTTTACATGCTTCAAGAAAGGATCCCAAGATATTTAAGGATACCAGGAATTACAAGTTCCCTGCCTTCCAAACGATTGGAGAATTTGTCTTCCTAGAATGATCATCTTAAGGCCTTAGTCCTGCATTCTAATTACTGCTCCACCTGAATTTGCCAGACTTCCTTTTTTTTGAGATAGAAGTTATTAAATATGACCTATCTGTTTACCATCCTCCAGTGACTGACTCTTCCTTACTTGCTCCCCACTCTCCAACACACATGACTGAGCCCCTTTTATCAAGCTGTCAGAAACAAACTTTGGTGTCCTGATAATACTGCCATCTATCTATTCTCCCAAGAATCTCACTGGATGCTAAAGCGCTATTTGTCTGAGTTCTGGCAAAGGTTTGGGAAAATGCTCCAGATAACACAGACTACTCAGAAAACCTTGGGAAATTTTTTTCTTAGGATTAAATATTTATTCACAATATGAACAGATTTGACACTGTCCCTCAAATTTTATGTCAATCAAATAGGTCCAGTGTTTGCCATGCTCTTGGAAGTCCCCCTGATCCTTGGGCTTTGGTGGCACCCCATAGGCAACACATCATTTAGTAAAAATAGTCCCTTTTCATTGTTATGAGATTTCCTACATGCTTGTCCTGCATAGAACCACCATTTACAAGAAGTCATGGGAGCGTTCTCAGAAGCAATTTATTATCTGGAACAACAAAGTTTCTAAAGACTCTGAATCAGGAAAATAATGGCTTTGGGTCACAGGAAAAGCAAAGGTACTGGTAATAACTTTAAGCCCAGAGGCAGAACCATGGTCTTGAGCAAGATACCTTGATGTCACCCCATAGGTCAGGTCATTCACAAAGCTAGCCCAGAAACGATCAAAGCCTTGTTGAACCCATTAATAACATCCCAGTGTTTCATGAATAACCTTATCCAGAGCTCAGCCCAGTCTAGCTTTAACATAAATTCAGTCTAATACATTCCTGGATTCAATTTAGGGCAATCCAAAATTTGACCCTAAAGCCCTGTTACCAGCCACTTAAATGCAGAAATAGGACTCACTTAACACAGCCCCAACCCAACTCTGATCAATCCAGAGCCCAGAAAAACAATGAGGTGATTTCATGTATCAGTCAATGTCAGCCCAGAAACAGGTTCTGTTTAATCTGCTTCACGGCACAGCTCAGCTAAATCCACAGACCATCCCAGTCCATCCTAAGCCAAACCCCACCTAGCATGAAGTTTAATCACCAATCCCCTGTTAGCCCAATTCAGCTAGAGTCTAGCCAAAGCTCAAGACCTAGCACAGCAAGCACATTCCTACAAGGACTCAGACAAGAAAATAATCTGTAATTCATACCAGCATATCCTAAAAGACCCATTCCAGAGCCTCATAAAGACTCAAAGTCTTGAGAACAAAATGTTCATTTCGTCTAAAACAGAGACCTGGCTATTCCAACACAGAATCTAAACAAGGGATGACATGGACCAGTACAGTCCAGGGAACTGACACACCCAGAGTTTACAAATTTCCAATGGAAGACTGTATCAGACACCTCAAGGTGAATGCAAAGCTAAATGCAATATCAATTCAGCCCTTTGCTGCCCGGTTCTGCTTAACCCTGGCACAGTTAAGCATATTCAAGACCAAGATCTTTTCTCTCCTTCTTTCCCCCTCTTCCCCACAGTTTCTGAATTGATTGCATGATGAAAAAAATCATAGTTGCTGTGAATAGTAAATGAAACTCAGCATCTGTGACACCTCATAGAATTCCTCATATAGTAGCTCAGTTCCTTGGTCCATGCTAAACTCTCCCTCTGTGCCCTGAATCCCAGCTTTCCGTCTCTTCATGCCAAATGGGTAGTTACAAAATAGTCATGGGGATGTGAAGTACAATATGGGGAATATAGTCAATAATATTGTAAAAACTATGTATTAGTGTCAGGTTGGTACTAGACCTACCTGGGGGATCACTTTATAAATTATAGAAATGTCTAGCCACTGTGCTGTACACCTGAAACTAATATAAAATAATATTGATTGTCAACTATAATTGAAAAGAAAAATAGTCATGGGGATGTAAAGTACAGCATAGGGGATGTAGTCAATAATATTGTAATTGTGCATTGTCAGATGGGTATTACACTCATTGGGGTTATCACTTTGTGAGGTATATAAATGTCTAATTATTATGTTGTTTTGTACACCTGGAACTAAAATAATATTGTATGTTAACAGTGATTGGAGAAAGAAAAGGAAAAATCATTTTTTCCTTTAGCAATAAAGCTGGACTGCAGGCCTGTACTTAACAGTATTTGCCTAAGCTCTTTCCACCATGTGACCCTTCGAGACAGTGGGAAGGATGTTGACAAGTCTGCAAGTGGAAAGACGAGGAGTTGAAGAAGTTTTGAAAGACTAAGTTTAAACAGAATAATCCTTTTTGTGTAATTTTCTTCCACTGTATGAGTT